AAGTCAATGAAATCAAAGCATATCAAATCTAGAATTCCTGTGATTCAAACTACATGTACTTAATTGACCTCATTGGCAATAGTCAAAATATTTCAAAAGAAAAGAATTTTTTTTAAAATTTATTTTAAAAGTTGAGAGTGGAACTATTCCATTGGTGGCTTACTGCTTCATGCTGTTAAGTAAATGTTGTCAGGGAATGTCAGTGATGCCAGCATATTTTTTTTGTTGAAAAATTCTCAAATATATTCAAATGTTCATGCATTAAACCTCATGCATACAAACATTGCATGGCACTGACACTGTGCTGGTTAAATTCCACATAGGATGAGTTGTGTATACTTTTGCTGCCAGGTTAGAAAAACTTGGAGTACCTTAGAACTACATTCAGGAAAAACCATGACAGTTACTGGCTCTCGGTCAAGAAGGTGATTCTTTGCAGTTTTAATTCTCTTTTATCAGCAAAGTTTGGAGGGATGTTGTTGTATTCAGTATTTGTCAATCCATTTATTTGTCAACAAGTTTATGAAAAAAGTTTAGAATCAATTCTTTTAGTTATTAAATAAAAACTTACTCTGATACAAATGGGTATGAAAGGTGAAATAAGCCACAAAGTGGTTCCAAATAAAGCATTTTCAATATTGTTACAGGTTTTGTGAGAACATTGAAAAATATACACACTAGAAAAAGTAGGAATGCATAGATTTGCATTGTCTGGGTTCTCTAAACTACTCTTTCTAAAGTGAGTTTGGGTGTATTTTTATCCATATCCATATGTTTTCCATCAGCCTGCTTTTAATTGTCTGTCCTCTTAGGTTTTGTCATAGTAGCAAAAAAAATCAATTGGCATTTCATTAGCAATGATATAAGAATTCCAAAATTGGATGTTGGCCCCTGGAACCTGAAAAACTGCAGTTTTGAGAAATCAAGCTTTTTATTGAATTTTTCATGATTGTTTGGTTGGTTACACAGTAAGGTTATGAAATTTTGATATTTCTTGACTCCAGGGCCAAACTTTCCTTGGATTTTATTCTTCTACTGGAATAGTCATTTCAATGTTGGATTTTATTCTCCTACTGAAATAGTCATTTTAATGTTGCAAATATGCAATAAGGCGTTGGATGCTGCAAGTTTTTGGCACAGATCTAGATCAAACTTGCATCATGAATTATTACCATTAGGATGTTTGCCACACTGTTGGTCTTGACTGGCCATCTGTACTTGACCTATACTGATTAGTAGTCAGGAAGTTCAGCCTTGTAGGCATACTTAGTCATGCTTCAAATGCTGTGTGTGACCCATATTTATTTTGACCAGCAGTCAAGAAATTGAATTCAATATCATATTTCTCATTTCAATAAATTAAATTTTGACATTCAAAAAATATATTGAAGGAGTGGGTCATGTAATTATACCCCCCACAAACGAAGTTTGGGGGGTATATAGGAATCACCTTGTCCGTCTGTCCGTCTGTCTGTTCTTCTGTTCGTCGGTCCGTCTGTCCGTCTGTCTGTGCAATCGTGTCCGGTCCATATCTTTCTTACAGAGGGACATTAGAATCTACTACTCCACACAAAGATTGCCCATGACCCAAGGGTGTGTCATGACCTTGACCCAAGGTATTTGGGGAACTTCAAGGTCACTGGAAGAAAAATTTCATAATTCGTGTCCGGTCCATATCTTTCTTATGGATAAACTTGGTAAGTTTTCATTTCACACAAAGATTGCCCATGACCCAAGGGTGTGTCATGACCTTGGCCCAAGGTCATTTGGGGAAGTTCAAGGTCACTGGAAGAAAAATTTCATAATTCGTGTCCGGTCCATATCTTTCTTATGGATAAAGTTGGTAGGTTCTCCTTTCACACAAAGATTGCCCATGGCCCAAGGGTGGGTCATGACCTTGACCCAAGGTCATTTGGGGAAGTTCAAGGTCACTGGAAGAAAAATTTCATAATTCGTGTCTAGTCCATATCTTTCTTATGGATTAAACTTGGTAGGCTCTCATTTCACACAGAGATTGCCCATGACCCAAGGGTTGGTCATGACCTTGACCCAAGGTCATTTGGGGAAGTTCAAGGTCACTGGAAGAAAAATTTCACAATTCGTGTCCTGTCCATATCTTTCTTATAGATAAACTTGGTAGGTTCTCATTTCACACAAAGATTGCCCATGACCCAAGGGTGTGTCATGACCTTGACCCAAGGTCATTTGGGGAAGTTCAAGGTCACTGGAAGAAAAATTTTATAATTCATGTTTGATACATATCTTTATAAGGAAAAACTTACTTCTGAAAAACCCACCGGGGGGTATTTTGTCCCATTTGGACAGTTCTAGTTTATCAGCAAGGTTATTTCTTTTCATATAAAATAGGTCATGAATAATTAGGGAATATATGAATATGAATGCAAAGTAAGATCACCAAGGCAATCTATCAACAATTAAAGCAGCACAGTCTATCACCAATGCCTGCTGAGCTAAGAAGACAAATGGTCTTTGATTTTCTGTGTTTCCTAGGGACATTTGACATTTGTTAACTGCTTTGACCACTGTGTAATTAAATCTAGAAATTAGACAGCTCTACTAGCCATCCTGAAAGAACATTATGAGGAACTCTATGATCTACTTGGCAGTGTAGACTATAATTAATTTAGGTTCCTGAGAGTTTCATGCAGTTGCAGACACACTTTTGCTTGTCGTCCAGGAATGCCGAATGTCTATTGTATGAAAACCAAATGAACTTGATTGGCGCATGCTTCAAAGATGCACCTCAGTTCAGTCTAGTATGAATGATGCGTTTGTGTCAATTATTCTGTTTGCAATCCAAGAAAAATAATTATAAAAACACATGCATCTTGTGGCTCTTAGTTTAGGGTTCACATGTATTGATTAGACGTTATACAACTATTCTGGTATACTGCAGCATGTAATGACCGCAAACAGCTGTAGGTCTATGTTGTAGTGTTATGGCTAAACAAATTGCATAAAATGGCCCATATGACTTGGATTGGGAAGCTTACCTAAAACATTCAGATTCAAAGCTAAGCTAAACCATTTGCACTTAGCTGAGAATTATTACTTTACAGATTTGAGGTGGCAAGCTTCAATGCCAGGTGTTTGCTTGAAGAACATTTACAAATATTTTGATGCAAGTTTGAAACGAATTGAAAGAATTTTAATTCTAGACATTTCCAAAAATATTTTAAAATTTATTTTTGGTTAAAGGAGAAAATATAATGAAAGAATTGATGCTTCTGAAGACGTGGGCTAGAACTGTTCAGTATCTTAAAGAGAAGACTTGAGACTCATCCTCCCAAGAATAGAATAATTTAGACAGCTTTGATTAGAATGTTTTGAATGTTGCTGGAACAGGAGAGAAAAAGACGGGCTTTTTCTTTAGTTTCAGTTTAAATTGATGCTTTCACTCTGTTGAAGAGGTTTTTTGTTTGTTTGTTTGATTCTTCTTTGATTTTATAATTTTTATGAGTTCATAAATTCTAGGTTATTGCATTTAACCATGAGGGTAATTTAATACAGAGTCACAAATTCATCAATTTATTTTTTCAAGAAGTTCTGCACAAACAAACAATTTCAGTGTATACTTGCAGTTGGTGCATGTAAGAGATTAGAGTGATGTCCCTTGGCTTTAAGTCTAAGTAGCTGTGACATGCAGTGGGACTCTGACATGTAGCGCCACTATACACACTTGTCTCCGCGGTGTCAGTTCTGGCTATCTACCAGGACAGACCGCTAACTACCAGTTTCCGCAGATTCTCACATCAAACTCAATTTATACCATTCCATACCACAGCATTCTTAGTGGGAATAAAGTTTATTTAAATGTCATGTAAAAGTACCTGTGTACCTATATTCACATATTATATAGGTGAAATTGTAAAGTGATGAAAACTGAGAAAATTACATGAATTAGAAAAACCAAGGGGGGGGGGGGGGGGGGGGGATTGTTACCCTGTGTATGTATACCCATAAGTACTTAATTAAAAAAAGAAATTTTTACTAACTTCATGAATCTAGCATCATTCTGTCCCATAATTGCAGATAACAATACAGTTTTATTGCATTTTCAGTATTTATAGGCAACCTTCAGTTTAATGATGAGAAAAAAACATGACTGTGGGCTCAGTATGATTAATGTTAAATGTTTTATTGTTTTTAATTTCTTTCATATCTACAATAATTGTAACAATTTCTCAGACTTAAGAATTTTTTGAATGTTTTTCCTCCTATTTCATATAGAGAAAAACTTGCAATATCATCAAATTTTCATTTCTAGCTATTTTGTGAATATTTCAAAAAATAAAATTGAACTTCCTATTCATTTATTATATGAATTGATATACTTTCATTGAAAATGTTATGATTTTTTTTTTTTTGAATTACCATTTCATAGATTTTTTTTCCTTGAATGCTTTAAGAATTAGCATATTATGTAACTGACTTTGAATCCCCTGATATTGCAACTACTCATTTTGTCTTCAAAAAAAATATTCTTATCTTATTGATTATATCTAAATATTTTAGTGGGTTTTGTAAATTTTTTTGACCAAGTTGTTGCAGACCTTGAAAAGGGGGTGGCTCATTTAAAATCTTAGATAGGACTACATTAAAATGTCTGACACTTCGCTGATTGCACAGATCAAATCTATCTTTTCTCAGGGCTCCAGCCATTTTGAGGGTGGAGATAGTCTTAGATATATTGAAACAGGTGAAACAGAAAGTAGGGAAACTGAAATTTGTACAAGTAACATTGTGTGTAAATAGACGACCATATATCCTGTTTTTATCACATCTTGACCTTATACCACAAACATTATATACTACATTAAGAAAACATCCTTTTAGATGATGTTGATAAATAATTATAATCAATTAAATGCATCATAAATATGGCTTATGATCTTGCAAAATTACTTACAAAAAAATCAAAGTAAATTAAATTTTGTTTGTGGGATTCTCCTGTTGGTAATGGTGCATAAGATGCAGGAGTTTGAACACTGACATCTGTGTAATGAATGCCATATGCCGTACCATTATAGCAGTAGGGGTGTTTCAGTCGAGGATAAAAGCAGGAGATGAGGATTCCCTGATCTCTATCTTGTCTTTCCCCCCTCTCTAGCGGTAGTGAGTCAGGCCAGATAATGAAGGCTGCTCTCTGATGTAGAGTAGGAAGTTTTGTACTGCCGGTACTGTTCAGCCAGAGAGAGAGGGTACACACGGTAGAAGGTCCCCCTCCTTAGAAGTGACAAACCCAGGTGTGGCATGGGAGGGGCGTGTCTGGTGATTCACAGTCAAGGACAGATCTCTGGCTAAACATTGAGAAGTGGAAACTGTGTGGATTGATAGAGAGAAGCCGAACTGACAGTATAGAGTAATGGCAGTGGTGAAACATTGTTAGATAAGAAAGTTTAATATATTATTATTTTTGTGTGTGGTTTTCCCTGCACTCTTGAGATAGAGGAATGTACTTTGTGTGATTGTGAAGTTGGAACCAGACCCTAGCAGTTTGCATCTACTTGCAATGAAGTTCTGTCTGTGTTGATAGTAATCAGCTGATCCGTAAACAGCTGACAGCATCAGTGAACATTATAAAGTGACTACAGGGGACATGGCATGTTTGGTACAGAACTCTTCCTCTGTGGGTAAGTCTTTAATCTTACAGCTGTCTATAGGAGTGGGCAATCACTTCTGAGGAGGGCTTTTTTTCATCTTTAGAATGATAAAATTAGATTCCAGTAAGATGATGCAGGGTCCCCCAGAAATAACCTGAATGATATTCAGAGTTTGATTCATCTGTTTTATATAATGTTCTGAATTCTATGATAATGTCTTTTTAAAAAAAAGAAATAATTCATCATATGGAGATGACAAAAAAGAATTTAGAAAATTTTGTGTATAAACAACCCTGACCTGAATTCACATTGATTGCATCTAGGTAGGGACTTCTCCACAGTAAGTAATACTTATCTAGAAACATATTTACCAGTCTCTTGAGGGGTAATGAGATTATGGGATAAAAGAAAGTAGCCATAATGATCCTTACAAGCAAGGAGTCAATAAAACCCCCACAACAAAGAAAGCCTGGGGCCCCCTTTCTAATTGGCAGTGAAATGTAGGAAGTAGACTAATTCTAATAACTGTAAAACAACTGTTTGTAAGATGTTTAGTTGTTTTCATTATTTGTGTGATGAAGAGATGTTTAAATACTGGTCTGTGGATCAGTCACTCTCTCAGCAGGGGGTGATCTGGTCTTACTTTGAGGATGGGTGCGTAGTGTCATAACCAATTAACACCCCGTCTGGCCATAGATCACCCCAGGACTGAGCACATGTTCTTAGAGTAAATGAAAATGTTTGATTTTCATTTTAATGATATTTTTTTAAAAAGTGGTTTGCACACTTTCTACTCACACCAAGTGTCTTTTGAACTAAGAGATATTTTCTGTATCTGCAGTGTGCATAACATTGCAGAATTAAAGAGGCACCTCACTTTATATCTCTTTATGCTTCACTAAGCTCATAAATTTGTACCCAGTTTAATGACTTTAAAAAAGTATTTCTGATTTTTCAATGACCTAAATATTAAGAATTGAGGAAGTAATATGTGAAAAATCTTATAACAATTATGTCTTGAATGCAAGTTTTCTTTTTTCCGTGAGTGGATAAAATGTGTACCGCAAGTGTTATTGTGTACATGCAGCCAATAATTTTAAGTACGATTAAGCTTGATTACATAACCCTGTAGGATACACAATAGACGTGTAGTGTAAAGATTTGAATCCCGTCTGTTATGTATCAAGTTAACTGTGAGCTGGGATTAACCATTGTTATGTTAAATCTGTCAACATGTATCCGAAGTTTGTCCCCAAACTACAGGAAGTAGGCACTACTGGTCAGCTAATCTGGGCGAGTGATCGGAAATGATATAGAGGTACTTTGTAAAGAATTCACTTGAGGACTGAAACACAAGTTATAGCAGTCCTGCAGGTTACTTTATTGTCGAAGTATTTCAGATAACAATTTCACTGAAGAAGCTATTGTTTGAAATAAACAGCAGTTAAAGAAAGATCAAGCATAGCCCTTCTTTAATTTGAAGTTTTTCTGCATATTCTTTGATGTGGGTACTTTTGTAAATTTTCAGTTAATTATTTCATTTGAAGAAAAACTGAAGATATATTTTACATTTGAAGATATATTATTGCTATTGTCTGGGCTGTCTGTCTGTAATGGTTAGCCTCTGTCATCTCACCTAGGCTATCCCTTGGATCTGAAGCGGACACTTGGTTAGCTAAGTTGTGGTATCTGTCAGCTGTGCTTCTGTGACTTCCCCACTTCTTAGAGTCTGTGGGGGTCCTTCCAGAGTCCTCCTTTGAACTCTTATCACATGTAAATTTTTTTTAAATGTTTGAAGTAGATTCTAAGCGTACAGAGGGCATGCCACAGGGAGTTGGCACAACTAATTTACATTCTCACACAAAGGCTCATTTACACTGGATAAGATAGAGCGATGTTAACTGAATAATTAAAAACAAAGAGGTGTAAGGACTAGTTTACTAGGAGAGGAGAATCTGTTTACACTGTGTATGTTTGAATTGGTTCAATGATAGGTTCTCTGTCTGAAAGCAAGCTCCCACCGAGCCAGTGGCACCTCCAAATCTTATGTTTAATATCAAAATCTACTGCTACAGAAAGATAGGGACAGTTTTTGTTTACAAGATATTAATCTGTAACATATATTAAATATGTGGGGAACATGAATTTCTCATGTGGACGTAAACATCCATCCCATTCCCAGGATGGGCTTGTCTGTTTGATTTTCTTTGTAGAATGTTACAGTTTGTAGAAAGTATGATTTGAAACTTTTTTATATATTATCTCTAAATTGAATATGACTACTACATCACAATTCCACATTGAATTCTTTCTTTTCATTTTAGAATTATCACATGGGCCAAAGAGAATAAAAAAGAATTGGGGTAAGTACCGGAGTTATCTGGCCTGAAGGTAATATGTACTGGGGTTGATCTGTCCAGACTTATCACTTACTACTGGCAGTGCATGGTCAAAAAAACCTGGTGAAATTACTAGAGGAGAGGGTGAAATTACTAGAGGAGAGGGTGAAATTACTAGAGGAAAGGATGAAATTACTAAAGGAGAGGGTGAAATTACTAAAGGATGGGGTTACTTGGTTTACTTGTTGCTTTTCTACTTAGAACTGAAGGTTCTAAATAAATGATAAATGAAAAAAGGTCCATTGTAATAACCATGATAACTGATTATCAGTTGTAAATCAGTTTTGACTTATTTTTCAGTGGATCAAAGAAAGTCATCAATGTTGATTTCAGACAACTATTTGAATTTGTAATATGTGGTAAATCAAATGCTGCTAAATTGTTTCAAGGTTGAAATTAAAAGAATTTGTATTTCATTTTGGACTTTAAAGATTGCTGGCTGAGAGGGATTCAAGGACAAATTTAGTTGTTAATCTAAGGAACAAGAAAGCTTTTGAGGTTTTTTTTCTGAGATAGGCTAAAGATGTTGGTTTCACAATTTGTGTAGAAACATGCTCAGAAATTATTGCCAACTTTTAACACAGAATTGAACACCCAAATGCCTGGCATGTTTTTATGAGTTGATGAATGGGTTCTGTAGAGTTGTGTCTGCAGAATACATTCGAGTTGGAGTGGACATTTGGAGGTGATGTGGAGCTCTGACCTACAGGTTGCAGACTCATGAATGAGAGCTTTATCAGCAGTTATTAGAATATTGTTTTTACAGTTCACCAAGGCACAGGTTAAATATTTGGTTTCTTACAAACATGAAGTTTGAGAATGCCAAGATGGCAAGGCTCAGTCTGATGCAGTTTTATGTGTTTTCTTGGAACAATAAAGTTCTTGATAGCAGATCTATATAATTTGAGGTAAAAAGTGCAACCGGTTTGCTGTACTCTCATTGGAAAGTATGGGCCTCAGTGGCGGATTTAAGGGGGGGCGCACCCGGCGCGCGCCCCCCCTAAAATTGTCAAAGTTAGCGTAAATCAATTATGTCTACTTGGTAGACCTCATTTTCACCCTTCAAAATCTCTAGAATCCAGAAGCTTCCGGGGCTTCGCCCCCTGGGCCCCCACCAGGGCTTTGGTAGACCTCATTTTAACCCTTCAAAAACTCTAAAATCTAGGAGCTTCCGGGGGCTTCGCCCCCTGGGCCCCCACCAGGGCTTTGGTAGACCTCATTTTAACCCTTCAAAATCTCTAGAATCAAGGAGCTTCCGGGGGCTTCGCCCCCTGGGCCCCCACCAGGGCTTTGCCCTGGACCCACTGGGGGCCTCAAGGCGGCCCCCAGACCCCTTGCCTATTTTGGCGCCCCCCCTAACTCCAAATCCTGGATCCGCGCCTGGGCCTTTTTTATGGTTATTGATAAGAGGAAAAATGAAGTTTGTGTTTAAAAAATGTATAAAAAAGCAATTATGAAAAACAGTTGTTAAAAAATTGAGATGCCAACACCCCCTCACTCCTCTGTTTTTTGACTGATATACCTACAGCAGGTTTACATCAAGGGTTCTTGGAGAAAATGCCTCTTTTGTTTGCCATCTTAGATAAATGTACTTATAAACCAAGCAATATGTAAGACCTAGTTATCTGTACTCAGAACATCTGGTGGGGGAGTAAGGTACACAGAAGAAATAGCAAAGATGTTTATTTTCCACTTGTTTATACTGCTCATCGGTGGCTTATGTTGGTATTTATCATCCAAGAATGCACAGCATTACTTAACATTAGGCTGCTCGTTATTAATTAGATTTAACTCTTTACAAAGTTAAGCCATGAGTCATGATATCATGAAAGGCTGTTGTTTACATGAAGGTCTTTTTGACTTGATTAACAACAGGTATCAACAGGTTCCTCTCTATGGGTTTCCTTGTAAATTTTATTTTTCTAAGAAGTGTCTTCATGTATACAAATTGAAAACAGTGATTATGATTTAAAATAGATAACTCCTCCATCATAGGGCTCATTAAGATGGGGTTAATTATTAGTCTGTTTTGAGTCAGTTTAACAGAACTTGAAGGAAAAACACTTAAAGGTACAAATAAAATGGAGGAAACTTTTGCATTATTTCCAAGGTTGCCTACAACATACAAAAAATACATGGGGTTTGATACTCAAAAAAAAGTATTCTTTTTCCCATGCCAGAATATGCTCATTAAATGACAGTTTCAGTCATCATATAGATGCTTCTAGATACATATAAATATATAATTCATATAAAGCAGACTAAAGTACAATGTCAAGTGAGATATGTACCGAGTTTTGAGATTTCTCAAGGTCAGTCTTTGAGTTGTTTGTTCACTGCAATGCTGTTGTACTTCTGTTTGCAGACAAGTATCAGGTTGTCCACATTCCGAGACACTATAACATCTAAGTCATTTTGTTTCGTGTGGGCTCAATAGAGATTTCATGATCTGCAGACATCTTAACAAACACAAAAAAAACCCTTTGTCAAATGTTAATGTACCAATGATGTCAGACTGTGAGCATGTCAGATTCTTTTTTTCCTTCCTACCTGGTACTTGTATCAAGATCACTTCTAAACAAAAACCACATAACCATTGCATATATGTGGATTTCTGTGGATTTAATGTCAACTGCATCAGATTCCTGCAATACTTGTTAATGGGAAGAAGTAAAAGCATTACAGGTGCTTTATCAAGACCCTGCTGGCAGTGAACAAGATCTGAACTAGATAAAACTTTTTCAAAGGCTTGCAGAGAAGCTGAGATCTGGGGGGGTTTATAAATAACTCCCAATTAAAGAATTTATTACACTTAATCATCTTATCATTTCCTAAAATACACTTCCAGTTAAATTTAGAATCACATTTGTACACTTAATTTATTTCCATTGTTAAATTTGAACCTACAACTTTAAAAATAGTTCATTTATTTTATATCCCTTTTACACAATTATCAAGGTCATATGAGAGACCATTTTCGCTAGCCAAGGGTTTCCGATCCGAAATCTACTAAACCCGAAATCTACTCTACAACAGAGCAGATTTCGCTAGCGAAGATGATGAGAGACAAATTCATCACAACCAATCTACTCGCTAAAGCCTTGAGCAACAAAGATTCAGGTACTATAAAAAGATTTTATTAAATAGCTGACCTTACAAGCACCCAATTTAATCAGAGATTACCCACAAATCTACATTATTTTAAAAAAAAAAAATTGTTACAAACTTTTAAGTTGACATGTCCATTCAGTATCTACATAGATAATTAAGTGACCCTGTGACCATGGCATTTATACCAGAAACAGGTGTTGGAGGGACACTTTAGAGTCAGAATGACATGACCTTGACCTCTGTAATCAATGAAAGGCTAAGGTCAATTTATATTATAGCACAGATTGGGGGATATATTTTGAAAGGGATATCAGTACTCTGATATATGGATAATTTTTCTGCATGTATATATATTTTATACATTTATGATCACAAAAAATGCATTTCTTAAGGAAAAATGTAACAATTTTTTTTTTTTATGTTAAAGCTTCATGTCCTTTTTAATTTTGTATATATAAAAATTTATACATTTATGACTAAAACAATGGAAGTAATTACATTTTGATAAATTGTCTTATGTATAGAGGATTTCATGAAATATGTGTGTGCCTTAAAAAAAATGTAATTCATATTTCTTTATGTGCATTGATCACTTTACAATTTCAAGGAAAAGTGGTTTTTCAAAAATTTAAGATTCTCTGTTTTTTTTTATATAGGAGCTTCCTTTCTCCAAACTCTCTATGATAAAAGTCTTTGATACATTTCTATGTTTTATAGTTAAAAATGTAACAAAAATTTTTTTTTATGTTAACATTTGCTTGGCAATGACTGTTTCCAAAAGTTGAAGGTCTGTCTCAAATGCATGATAAATTTGGTAAATCAACTATTACATTTATGGTAACAAAGTATTCAGAAGTTAAAAAAAATATTCATTGAATTTTATAAAGTCATACACGTAAAAATAAAAAGCAATTATAGGATAAAATGTGACTAAATAATAGAAAAAAGAGCCTTGAAACGTATACCAAGAACAAAATATGATATTTCATTTTGGTTGGCAAAAATGAGAGCCTTCAAAGTAACTCTCTGTGTGTTTAATGGCACATTTCCTCAAGTGTGATGCTCCAAGTTTTCCCATTTGAAAAAATTCAGATTAGATTCTTTAAATAGGGCGTTGCTATGGAAATAAGCAGAAAATATATGCTTAAACAAAAATATTTTGTTTCCTACTTTAAATGTAGATTCCCAAAACTTTTGTGATTGATATTTATCAACAGCTAACTTGAAATTTTGACGATCATCCAATCTCTAAGTGGATGCAAGAAGTTGGCACACAGGGTTTCATATTGATATAAAGTTCACAAAATCGAACATTTTCCCTTCTGGTAACCATAGCAACAGTGTTGTTTTATTCATCAAATTTTATCAATATATGATATTCAACTTTAGTTCTAACAGATAAGTACTATTCAAGCTGAGTCCTTTAATTTGTTTCTGTTAAATGGCAATTTAATTCTTAATGAAAAATAATTCATTTTAAGCACTGGTACTTTGTTTCCATGGTAACACTAAAGTAGCCATTGTACCCAATTTTTCTTATGGTTTTGGTGTTGCAAGGTCCTAAAATATTTGCAAGTCTTGAATTTTCATGTTTTTCCTCAAGACAGTAGCATTAACCCAGTCTTAGTTACTGGTTTTGCATGGTTACACTGTGTTACCATGGCAACCATAAAAGTTATTTATAGAATAATATTGCTTAATTATATACAAGGTCAAACATTTTCAATGTTTTTCTTAAGTCGTTGATTGAGTTTGAGCATGTAACACCTACCATTAATGAATACGGAGTGTTTTTCAGCATATTTCAGCATTTTAAATGTATTCCAAATGTACCCTTGGTTACCACTTACTTAGATATATTCTAAACAGTTTCTTTACAATTTCATGGTGTCATGTTTTTGTGAGAATGGTTTGTTTGCTTTTTCTAGTTTTTATTAAGCCACAGTCAAGATTTAAAGTGGCTGAAAATCTCGATTTTTCATATAGCAACCGAGACACATTTTTTGTTTGATATTTGTTTCTGGTGTCATTAAGCATGGGTGAAGTTTCCAAAATGCTTATTCATGGCTATTAATATATTTATTTCCAAATGCTTATTCATGAAATTATTGATTTTAAAACCTCTTTTGATTTCTCTTTTTTTGTTTATTGACTTTGAAAAATAATCATTCCATTGTAAAGTAAGGTTGATCTCCATATGACATTAGGAAGAAAAATTGTTTATTTCTTCAAGATTCCATCCCAGCATTGTTTTTACTGCTGAGTTATGTAGGATAGCATGATTAACCAAGATTTCCTATAGATGTAGAATGTGTAAACATTGATTACTCAGATCCTAGGTAGCTCAGTGGACTCGCAGACTGTCAGGATCAGCAGAGTTTGGTACAGTAACCCTGGCCACTGATGCTTTTGTCCACATGCATTAATTGTTGAGAGTTGGCACCGAGATTCTTTATGTTGGCAGAATCTATTACTGCTGATGGATTGATAACCAGCTCTCTAGGAATGCTGCATGTTCAGGGGGCCCCCAATGTTACACAACAGAAATTAATGTCAGGTATACTTGGCCAGGAGGAGTTTTGATGGTCAGCTGGTCCCAGAGTTTCCCCCAGTACATGGAGGGTGGCCATGAGGTGCCCTGGTAATGCTGCAAAAGTGGCCCAGTAGTTGATGTGGCTAGGAGCAGATGCCAATGTCTGCTGAGTTCACAGATATGTGAATGAAGTACAGAAATGATTGCATGTTTATCATGTTTATGCACCACATGTGAAATGTTTAAAAATTGGGTTAACTGGTAGAAGTTGTTAAGAAGAATGTTGATAATGTGTTTCACCTCAAATCCCAAAAAATCAAGTCCATAACTCTTCCTACTTTCTCTTTTTGCTATTCATCATTATTAAATTTTGGCATTATCTTTCAACATGTTCAACATGTTCAAAGTGTAATCTATTAAATTTCATCTCCTTCTTAAGTTTTTAGCATTTAAGAAATGCATGTGAAGTTTGATCTTTTCCATTGGGTGTTCCTTTTAAGTTTGCTGCATATCTCTTCTTTCAATTACTGGTATATAGTTTAGAGGTTTTGTGCATTCACAGTTATGAACATAGAGATATTTGCTGCTGAATTTTGTAACAGTTTTATTGTATTGCACTAAACAAGAATTTACAAGATAGATCCTGTGGATTTTTGTCTGCTCTGAAATGACAGCATCCAATTCTCATACAGGATTTATGTTCTGTTTAGTTGGATTAACCTAAAATTGAGAAGAAGAAATTTTGCTATCATTTGGTTGTTTTAGGTACATTGTTAGACCAAAGGTTGACTTGCTCAAAGTATTGTACAGTTTTGCTACTGTAAATATCATAATAGCCCTCATGATTCCCTTGCCAATGAACATAATGATTATATAATTTTTTTTCATTTCTAACTATATCATAATGGAGAAAATTCATTGTAAAACTGCCTACACATTTCATTGGCAAACTATTTAACATGAGAAAAAAGTTGATGGTGATTAGCAATTGAAATCTAATATAATATTCTGGTGGCATATAGATTGCATGCTGCGGCCAAGTTTTGTCTTCAAGTGATGAATCAGTAATTATCACCTCTCTCTCTCAATAAATGTGATCGTATTAACAAGTCAGTTTTCTTACAATGGAGTTCATGGACTGGGGTAAAGTAGTCGTCTCAGTGTTGTCTCCCAGCTCTTATTGACCATTGAATTCTTGCAAATTGCTAGGATAACTTTGGACATTTTTTTTTCTTTCTGTGACTTTTACTTTCAAATATGACAAGTTATGTATGGGGTTGTAAAAAGTAAAATTGAACTGTGAATGTCACTATTTTAAGACAAAATGAGGAAGTTTTGGTTGAAAATGTTGATATTAATGTCCATGTTTGATTCACCCCCAAAAAAATTAAAACCCAAAATAACGTAATTTCCTTAGGTGATTATTTTCCTTACGAGCTTACAGCAATGTTTTATTATATTGTGCTGTTTCAGAACTGAAAGCATAAAATTTATTTGACACTCGGTTAAGTTTCTTTTTATTGTTGACAGACACAAGTAGCAGTGGCAGTTGGTCCCCCCTTTATGGGGGAGGGACTTCTTTAGACCAAGAGGCCATCCAGTACATACACAAGTTCTACTGCAAGGACTGCAGAATGGAAGCAGAGAAGGCAGAAAAAGAAAAGGCAGCCCTAGGGGGTGAGGGGCCGGTCAAGGGGGATCCAGAACAGATGTCCCCCACCAGCCCCCAGTCCACCCTGGAGGAGATGTCCCTACAACAGAGCATGGACAAAAACAAAGAGTGTAAGCATTCAGGGACTCTGTAGGTCACCTTTGATTTTATTCTGGTAAATTAAAAATTGCAAGTTTTTCATAACTGAGTCTGAAAAAAGTGTAATCCCCAGGAATATTCACAAGATGAATGAGAAAAGTCACAATAAAAAGTAATTAGTCAAGACTTCATAAAGTTAGGTCATATTTTACTGAATTCTAAGCTGTAAATGAAGATTTTTTTCTATTAGAATAAAAAGAATTGTCTCAAATAAATAAAAAATATTGTCTGATTCCTTTTAGCACTGAAGAGGAAGCTAATGATGAGGCGATCTGTGAATGAACTGGTAGACCAAGGAATTTATCCTCGTAAGTAGAAACTTACAAAATGTCACTGCCCTTAAATTTCACAAATGTTAAAATAAAGTACATTATATGCTTCATAATTACTTAAGAATATTTCTTTTAACTTACATGTTTTGATTATCAAATAAGAAGTTTTTGGATTTTTTTTTCAGCATTGAGTACACCAGCTGCATTTGCAGAACAGAGAAGACATTTAGAGAGAGCAAAGGTCAGCTTTATCTTGTTTGTAATTCATAAGGAGCTGTTTGTAATTTTTTGTTCCTCATATAATCTGCACTGTCTGTACCTTGTGTAATTTTAAATGGAGCTCAGAATGAAGCAGTTTAGATGCTTTCTGGATTGGCTGACATCCCAATTACGTTATTCACTGCAAACTATTTTGGATGTTTTTAATTAAGTCTTGGTGGTTAACATTAAGAATTATAAGTTTTTGCTATTTCTATTGGAAACTTTGTTGTACAAGCTAGCCATGCTCCACACTAGCTTGTTTGTCCCAAGGGAGAAGTACACACATGACATTTTTATCTTTCTCCCCTGTGGTGCTCTTCTTATTTTTCACCAGATTGAATCATTCCTTACAAATAAACGTCAAAAACATCGCAGGAATAACACTTCTCAAAATATATATATGTTGCTAATTTTCATGGCATTTTTGAAAGAATTTTTGTCCAGGCAGGTCTTGAATGGTTTCTGATAGGAATGTCAGAATCAATCATTTGGTTGCTGTTTTGATAATAATTTGTCCATCTTTTTGCAAATATTTTGAAGTTACTCATTGCATGCACATTCCCAGAAAACTGTGATATATGGATGAGTTCATAGATGTAGGTTAACTTAAAAACTGATGTAGTAGAACAAGTCTGAAGACTCCTTTTCCTGAAAGTATCATTAACTAATGCCTTATCCTCGTAAATATTTACACTTCATATAAAGAATGGAATATTAGATGTGTATATTGATGAATACCAAGTAAACACTTTATATCTCCCAATGAAAATTCAGACAGAAACAGAAAAGTTAAACATGCCTGTCAGAAAAAATAAGTCATTAAATAAAATAGGTCAATATACAAGCATTCCTAGATTGCTTAATTTCATAGCTCTTGGAGCTAAAGAGAAATTACTCAAATGAGCATTGTTGCCTGTTAGCCTAGTTCCCCATCTCATTCGGGCATTGTTGATTTGTGTCCATACTGACATGTGAGCATTGTTGCCCATTAGCCTTATGTCCTTACTCATGTGAACATTGTTGCCCATAAGCTTTGTGTCTTTCTCATGTGAGCATGGTTGCCCATTAGCCTCATATTCCAACTTTGTGTACTTATTCTTTCCCTCTCTACAGATTCTGATACGTAGAATGTAGATTGGCATCAGATGACTTCTTAATATTTTTGATTTCCATCAGTGATACAGTTAGAAAGGAATCGTAAAGAAATTGGGATGCATATAAAGTGTTTGCATACAAAACACAGCATTATTGATATTGGAACAAAATATATACATCAGACATTGTAAGAAGCTGAAAGTGAGTGCATTTCAAATGCTTCTGGGGATAGTAATGGTATACATTTTCACTCAGAGATTTAATAATTTGCCAACTCAGCTGATATTTTCTGCTGGAGGTTGTTGACCTGTAAGTGAGGGAGAACAGGACATTTCCTCTCCACCTTGTTTTCACCCCAGTGATGAAGCATTGTGATAAACCTTTCTTCTGCAGAGGAATAAACATCAATGTCTGCCGTATACCCATCAGCCACATGCTGCATTACATCATACAAATTCTTCCAGCTCTCTAAATTCTTTTAAATATCTCATAATCTAACAGGTCCTAGCAAGTAATTTTCCAGAAAATGTTATGCCCAGGTCTCTTGCTAGGTAATGGGATTATTTGCAGAGTCCTTGAGTCATAACAGCAATGTTGTGCGGAATGTTGGCACGTGCCCAGATACATTATCTAGCAAGACAACAGAAAAAAGATGTGTATTCTGTCTAAGCCTCCCACACTATTCCTCTGCTCCGTAATCACAGCATCTCTACAACCGAAGGCTGCTGTCAAAGCCCCTCAGAATCAGGATCAGACTCTATTTAAACCATTAAAAAATGATGTGCTATAAAACACTTAACCACATGACAGTAATTACACATCGCAAATATCTACAATGGAAACATGGGTTTTTACATGCAGTTGCAGCAGATGCTCTAAAAAATGCATCATATACCCTTGTTTTACAAAATTACCCACAATTTTTTGTGAGAATTTGATTGGACGCTCGGGATCGTAACATGGCAGGTTGCTTGATGATAACGGCTTTTGACAGAATGATCTGGCAATGTAGCATTTTCCCATTTGTTGAACTATTCTGGCAGATTTTAAGAAGTTTAATTTTGTTAACTGACAAACACTTGTTAACACTTGAGAAGACTTTCATTCAGTCATCGTAAGTGCCATAAGCTTCAACTCAAATCATTGATCGCGTGCCCTCAGTAAGAGACACTGGGAGGATGAGAGGGATCTGAGTTAATATAGGATACTTACTTTACGTCTGTAGAATTAGCACCACTGTTTTTTATCTTCATTGACTTACATTTGTGGAGTATGTCAATTGAAGAAATAGGCTGACCTAATTCCTTTTTTTTTGGTTTATTTGAAATAGTTTCTTCGTTTTAATTGGAAATGGCATCTGCAAGCAGTTTTCTCATTTGTGCACCTACGTATGTTTTGTTTCAATCAAGATTCACGTCTTGCCAATATATATTTGAACTACATTTAGAATGTCTTTCCAAGAATATCTCATTATAGACAATAAAAATGTTTAAGTTTTGGATGATAGTGTTTATTGACCATTCAGTGCAGCAGTGAAGATAAAAGAACATAAATTTTCCATGATAAATCAGACATTACTTGTAACAACACCCATGATTATTGTGAACATCGCAGTAATTTTTTTCTTTTATCGTTTTAGACTGGGGACTTACTCCGCCACAAAATCCAGCATCGCCCAGACAGACAAGTTCTCGTGCAGCAGCACATTCTAGAAGGTTTGTAGACACTCGAGTCAACAAATAACAAACAACTTGAATGGTCTTTGATGGTGATAATTAACTTCAGAGAATGAAGATTTGTTCTCTAACATCCAATCAGTGATAGCTTTAAGAGCTAATATAAAGTATTATATTATCTGCAGCAGTGTCTGTCTTAATTTTCCTATCAGCAGATTCATGTTTCACCAATTAGTTTATTCTTGTTGAAAATGTGTGATGATCGGTCAGTACATGTATTTTCAAGGTAACGGGGCTTTTTATCTTTAAGTTTTCAAAAGGAGAACAAAAATCAGAACATTTACTTTAGACTTTCCACAAAGCACCACATAACACTTTAGATACAAATGAAAATAAAAGGATGTTTTAGCCCATTCTCAGTGATTTCAAAAAAACACAATTATACATTTTGAAAGTTGTTATAATTATATTATCTTGAGTAATGATTTCAAGATAAAAACCAAACTTCAGTGAAAGGTGAGGTGCTGCTAAATTCATCTTGCCTCATTAGAACTAAGAAGGATAAAAATATTTTCCATTTTGATCAGAAATAAAAAGAATTATCAAAATAAGAATTCTTTTTGGTTAACAAAACCTGTGCTGATTTCAGACACCAAAATTGATCCCTCCCTACATGAGCGTCAACGTAAGCTGAAGAGGGCTCGTATTGCTGATGATCTGAATGACAAACTCTCTCACAGACCAGGCCCACTGGAGCTGGTAGAGGGTAACATTCTACAGACAGACAATGAAACCTTCAGGACAGCGCTTCAGGGTGTGTAGGCCAGAGTTCTGCTTGTAACCTTTTGTGTCTAAGTCCTTACTTTTGATGGCATTATAAAGCTTTGTTGCTTGTACTTTAGTGGATTATCATAAGATTTTTTATCTTCATTTTAGCTGGATCAATAAAATTCAACAGGACATTTGATGAGGACTCGGAGTCCAATCTGGGATTTGAGGATGAAAGCACAACAACCAGTGATGGTGTCCCCTCCCCCTGTGATTCCAGTATGTCAGACATCTGTAGTCCCCCCATCATCCCCCCAGCCCCAGAGCTACCCGCTTCCCTGAAATTCCAACAGTTGGGAACCCTCCCCAGCACATTCACTTCTGGGGTGACACTGACTAATGTGACAGGAGTTACGGGAGCTAATGCTTTGACTTCATTTGCCAAATTGTCGCCCATTACAACTCAATCATTCAGTGTAACAAGTACTGCCCCTGTGAATTCTAATGGAGTGGCCATTCTGAATGGATCAACTAAGTTGGGCAATGGACACAGTTCTTCTAATGCTAATAAGAACAGACCTAAGAAACCAAAACCAAAAGCTCAACCAAAAACAAAAGTGATTAAGTTTCATGAGTACAAAGGACCTCCGAATGTTGTGAAAACCCAGCCTGTTCCTGCTCAGTCTAGTAGCTCTCCCTCTGAGACCCCCTACCATATCATGCTACAACAACAGCAGTTGTTTCTACAGTGGCAGTTAGAATTTCAGTCCAAGAATGCTACATCAACAACTGGACGACCTGTCGCGGTGTCGACCCAGCAGACGGGCACGGAGCAGCCCACTACCATACAGGTACAAACACCAGGTAGTAGTGTAGGGTTGGTACCTGTGCTGACCTCACCTGTTGTGACGTCTGCAACCAGTGCAGTGAACACACAGACTACCATGCAGGGACAGCCCCAACTGGCCTCCCCTCCAATACAGACAATAGTTCAACAGGCAGTGAAGCCTGCACAAACCACAGTGCTTCACACACAGCCACAAGTTCAGGTTCATACTCAGCTCCAGGGACAACCCATGGTGCAGACTCAGCCCCAGATTCCTCTTCAAGCTCAGCCAGGAATTCAAGTGCAATCCACTGGACCTTCAACTGTTCAGATTAAGTCCCCTGTGGTGGCTAAGCCAACTCCTATTGTGACTCAATTACAAAGCTCCCTCCCTGTTCAGTCTTCACCAGCTCAAAGCAAACCTCTTGTTCAGACAAAGAAAGTCCTGCAGGGCCAGCCACCAGTGCAGCTGCAGTCCATTATTCCTGGAAAGCAGCAGCAGCAGAAAACTGCCCAGAGAGCAAGGCCTGTGCTACAGAACACCAAAAATTCCCCTGGAAATATAAGTAAACCTCTTGTGAATCTGGAGGACATGAAAGTGGCTGAATTGAAGGCTGAACTTAAAAAGCGAAATTTGACTGTTTCTGGTGCTAAACCTCAGCTGATTGAGAGGTTGAAACCATATTTAGATGTCACAATATCACCAGGTACCTCTGTAAATAATGTGACAGACATGAAGAGGTTACCAGTCCGTGGTGTTGTCAACGTCCAACCTTTATCCATGTCCACATCGTCACCCGCAATTCTTTCAACCTCAGATGAGATAGCCATGTCATCCACATCACCTCCTATATCACCAACGATCAAAGATAAGATCTTTAATCCTTTGTCACCGGAGGTGATGGACATAGCTCCTCCCACTAGTGTCCTCACAGCTCAGATGAAGAGCAGTCTTCACTCCGCTAGTACCGGCTCTATACCTATGGCAGTGGACAACTCCCGGCCTCCATCTGTCAACCCAGACATCGCCATGGATGTAGACAATTCTCTAGATTTTTCAAATTTTATTGAATTAAGTCAAGCAAGTTCATCAGCTCCATCAGTCCCTCCTACAGTTACCCTTACAACAACAGTTGCATCCATTCATTCATCCCAACCAATCAATGTGACAAGTCCAACAGTTACATTGGACAACACAACCCAAGCATCACCACAACATGTGCAGGAGGAAATCCTGCAACAACAGAGAATAAAAATTGCTCAACTTCAACAGCAGCTGGAAGAATCTCAGAAGATCTTACAACAGCAGATGCAGCAACAGCAACTGCAACAGCAGATGCAGCATAATCCCCGCCAGACAACAACACCACCACAGGCAACACAGCAACCCACTTCCCCACGACAGATACACCAGGTTGTACAGCAACCTGCATCCCAAGCTCCTAGTATACAAGTGATACAGAAACCCACATCACCACAAATACATCTTGTCAAACAGCCAACATCGCCACCACAGTTACAGCAGACGTCTCCCATAATGCATCAGCCGCTCTCACCACCACAGCTCCCTCAACAGGTTCAGATCATACATGCACCCACTGGACAGCAACACACCCTGAATGCCATCAAGATAGAGACGGACTGCAAAGCACCTCAGCAACCAAATGCAAAGATGGTACAGATAGGTGCTCCTCAGACAATTTCTTTGGTGGACAGCTCAGGTCTCCCCTTAACCATACCTGTCGTATCCCAGGGGATGCAGTCTATCCTAATGCCTAACTTGGTGGACAAATCAACCAAACACAACCTGGAGAATTTTGTGGTGAGTCATGGACTGAACAGGAGTTTGAACATTGCCACAAAGCCAAGCACCAGCGGCTCAGCGGTACATCCGGCATTCACTGGGCGGACCATCACTCTGTCCCCCATCAACGGCATCAGCTCAAGGTTAGTCACAGGACTTGGTATTTTACATTCTGTATTATCTGATATGTGTGTTTTAATTACCCAAGTGTTACCTGAGTTATAGTCATAGGGAATATTTTGCTGATGTTTGAAATGTTTGACTTCGATAATGACACCCCATGAATAGTTGATGAAAGCAATCTTCTTCATAGGCCATTATTTTGTTCAGAAGTTCAGACTTACAACAAAGGTTGTTAATGACTAGAGAGTTATCCTTATTCTGACCCAAGTTATTTGGGAAAGTTTAAGGTCAAAGAGTCAACATTTTGTATCTGAGACACATAAGATCTTATAAACTGAAATGATTACATTTGCTTATGATTAGGTTTTTGTTTTGAGAGCATCATTTGGAGAACATGAGGCCCATTAGTGTGTGTTAATTTGATCTACCAGTATTCAAGACATACCTGTACAACTGATAATACAGAATCCACTGTGGAAAACAATGACATTTCAGACTGCATTAGCTTATGTAGAACAATGTCACTAAAGTTTATCAACAAAACTTAAGACAGAGCTATATGCCTGTTCATTGATGAAGCATTGTTTATAAATCTGCCAATATTTTGGGATTGTTCCAGCTGTTTATTTAGTCTTCAAATCAAGGTTTCATAAATTCAAGCTTATCAGGGCTAAATGCATTATAAAAAAGCTTCAAATTATATGGTACACCGTACACATATGCTCCAAAGTAAGTCTTTGCATTCTGTAAGTAAAAGTTTATGAAAACTTGATATGTTCATACCAAAATATTTCATGCAACATCAAGTAGCCTGTGGTAAAGTAAAAACTGTGAAAGATTTTCAAAATAGATTTCTCTCTTAGTATTATATGTGTGTATTTAGAAATTTTGGTGTAACAAAATGTTTTTAAATCAAATTTTAATTATTTTTTGTAGCAAAACAACATCGCTGCCATCTTCACCTGTGGAAGGAAAAAGTCAAATCCTGCGGACGACCTCCAACCCCTTCTTTGTTCCAATGAGGAAAGAGCCCCCTAATTATGATGATGCAGTCAAAAATCTGGCTAATAAGGTATGGATAAGGAAAGATTTCATGATTTATAGAACATCAGTTCCAAAAAGAAATTTCATGTATGAGTGAATTTTGTACAAAAATATAGAATGTTCTTGTTTGTTTGAAGGGTCAGAATTTATCTCTGGTTGATAACAATGTTGCCCCGAAGACTTCTGTCAAAAGTCAGGCCATGGATGATGTTCTAGAGATCCTCATAAGGAATGGAGGTAATTCTTTTTGCATATTTTATATTCCCTCCCACACATATAATTTTTGCTGATGCAGGAGATACATTCAATCACTACAAGTCAGTGTTCCTCATTGAAGAATCATAAGAAGTTTATAGTTGAGTTAATGTTTTGGATATTTTCAGTGATTTTTACATAAACATATTTTTCAGAACTGCCCCCTAGTGCTGCCCAGGAACCTCCTCCAACCCCAAAGACACAGGCTTCCTCCATCCCCACGGCAACATCAGAAAAAGAGGTGCCTAGTTCAAAGTTCAAGTTCTCCATTTTCAATGCTTCTACAGCTGTCACGACGACGACCGTCAGTGCTAATTTGGCGTCTGACACAAGGGATGTGTATTCACTGCTGAATGGACCAATCACTGCCACTCCCTCAGTGGCTGTGAAGAGGGAGTGTGATACTCCCCCCTCATTTGTTTTAAATGAACAAACAGACAGCAAAGACTTGGGTCTGGACATTCAGGAAATGCTGAACCAGGACCTAACCTCAATGGACTGGGCTGACGACGCCCCCTTCTCACTGGACCTCACTGATACCTCTACCATGCAAACAGACCAAGACAAAATGGGAACCTCAAAAGACATCCTGAGTGTGCCAACAGACGAAAATTCTAAAAACAATTTGCATGGCTCCGAGCCAGATCTAGCCGCCTTGGGTATAAATGACACAGAGAGTGTGAATATGGACGTTTCTGATTGGTTGGATGTCATCATGCCCTCCACTGGTTTGACCCCTCTTAGTGCTAATGCCCCTGTGCAGTTCCCCTCAGACCCGATACTCACTCCTAAAACACAACAGGAGGTGCTAGACCTCTTCAGTTTTGAGGAGTGTGAGTTTGGAACACCAACAGACTTACAGACAGGGATCAACTGGGAAAAGTTAACCAGCTCTTCGAATTAGAGGTTTATAGAATAAACAATGGATGTTTTGATTAATTGCAAAAAAAAAAAATGGGTTTGAACTTGGTTGTTAAGTTCTACGTGTATATGTTAAGGATTCTGCATATTATTTTGTATGTAATTGTTATTGATTTAATTTAACAGTTATATGGTGTGATTAATATATAAAATGCTCTTTCAAGCTTGGACCAATTTTAAGGGAGACACACATCAGAATCTTCTGGAAATCTTATAAAGTAGTTTTACAGTATAAAATACAAGGTTCGACAATGTTAAAGACCAACAGAATTGTTAGAAAAAGGTGTGCATGTACTTGAATTTGAATTTTGACTTTTTTTTTAGCTTATTATCTTTGGCAGTTTTGCCTTTTCAAGCTTTTTGCAGTGCTCTTTTTGAGATTAAAGCCATATATTGATGTCTTTTTTCTGATATTGAATTACTTGTATTTTTTCTTGGATTTTTTGAATTCAATCACTGGTTTGGACCTATTTATATCTAGCTATAGTAGGAGTGTGTCCCCTTCCTTCTTGTTCAAGTAGCACAGTGACTGCAAATCAGCTGCTATGTGTTTTGGGTCCACATATATATCGGATTGTTTACATATTGCATTGAATCTATTTATAGCAGGGGGTGTGCAGTCACCATGCTACTTGACTCTTTTTATCATGTATCATTTTACACAAAAGTCATAGCTGTGTTCAAATGCATTCCATCCAGCAAACCTTGACAGAATTCTACATACCCACCCAGCATTGTGGATTTACCAGTTCTGTTCACTTTTATGGGGACCATATTAAGAACCAAAATCTTCCTCAAAGTCTGCAAATCTACCAGATATTGAAGTAGCTTGCAGACATTCTGATTTATTCATTTGATATAATGAATTTTATATCATTTACATAACACATAAAAAATGAGCAATTTAACATTGCTTAACTAGGGGGTCTTTTTCTCAGATTATATATATTTTTTAAAGAATCCCAGACATTATAAGTCTTAAATGGGGGAAAGGGGGGCTGTAATCTTTGTAAAAGTTTAAGTCGGTGTTATGGGAGAGAAATAAAATATTGTAAATTATTTCTGGTTCAGAGAACTTATTTGATACATTCCCCACTCTGGTAGCCCCACTTTGCATATTTCCTTGTCAGAGAAAAAAACATACCCTCTTTTCTACATCCTATTTATTATTTATTTATTTTTTGTGAATTTCAGTAACAGATGATGATAGGATAAGCAGGAATAGATAGTAAAAATGGGTGGAACTTGTTTTCAAACACAAAAGGGCAATTTTTTGTATGTTTTAAGAGGACACCTATTCCTAACTAATTTTAAAGTGCTGTTATATTTATTTGACACTTGTGCTACATTCATCTCACCCTTTTCTTACACAATCATTGAAATATCACCCCTATGCTTACTAACAGTGGTTTTCTATGCTAGAAATTTGAATGTCGGTACACATGAACTTGGATTAAAACCAGCTGATAAAGACACATGCAATAGAACTCGATCATCATGTGTGCAGTTCTTTTTTTCTATTATTTCTTTTTTTGATGTTTCACATTTAACTTGTAAATCAGATATTTTATTTTAGTACAGGAAACAGATCGTACTGGTACATGTATATGATGTTAGATATTAAATCGTTGTCAATCAGTTCATGACTTCACATTGTAACAAACCAGATCAATTTGTGCTGTGTAAATGTAAACAAGCAGAAGAAAGATACTGTAAAAATTCCTAGTTTGTGAACTTATTGTTGATAATTGATGTAGAGTAGACAACATGAACATGTTTTAGGACAAATTATTTAGTGGAGGATGAAAAGGTCTTCCAAAAATTTTCAGAATTTGTCATTTGCCAGTTAAACCCACAACCAACGACTGATTAAACATCTAAGTGCCTTCCTTAATGCTTGTTAAAACAAATTACAGGTATATGATTGTTAAACAGTTGAATTTTTGAAAAGTGAAGTTTTAGTTCTACTATGTAGATTTCATTATACATGTACCTTTGTGATAAAGTCTAGACTTATGCTTGCGACTGTCCCAGAAAGGGATAAATTTTATAATTCTAATCAACATGACTTTTATTTCTTCAACACATTTGTGTTAAACAAACTAATATCACAGAATCCAACTGATTTAATTTCTTTATTTAAACATAAAACACAAAATTCATCATCAAATTTTGCATTTTCTTAAAATTCTTAAAATTAAAATTGTATTTTATAAAAAGTTAATTCTGTGAATAATGGATTACATTTTAACTAGGATTGTAATTTATCAGATCGTGCATGTAATTAAAAGTAAAATAACTGTTTTACTCTGTGTAGTTATATAATGTATGTATATGATACTGTATAGGAATGAAATTTTCATTAGTACACATACTTTAAGCAAGATAAAATTAATTAAGTCAACGACTTCATAACATGTTAGACTTTTCTGTGATTACACATGACTTCTTGTACATAGTATGAAGCTACAGAGGTTTTACATTAACAGACATTAGCTCATGCATACAAAAGAATTTTTGTTTAATTATGTGTGTTAATTGCCGTGTGTATGTGCACATAGAGTAATATATTTGCATTGTTAGATCACATTTATTGTTTGAGTTTTTGTGATGATGATTGTTGTTATTTATTTTGTATCTGTAATTTTCAACTGACTTTTAAAACATACAAGCTCTTAATATTGATGTTTGGATCTGCTGAGACAAAATAACAGTACATAATCATAAAAACTAGACATTCTCTTACATCAGTCAGATTTATCTAGATTTCTTTTCTTGCTTTCTTTTTCCCCAAAACTGCATCTGATTATAAGTATTAAAAAAAATAAGAATTTCCATTTATTAGTGATTCTCATATTTTGCTGAAACTATAACTTCCTTGGATAAACAAAATTGAATTCCCCAATTAGTTTTTCTATTAAACGATTTTTTATTGCAAAAATTAGGAATATTATTTATGTTTCACTGATAAAAAAAAAAGGAAATTTTTATAGTAGTCGAATTAAGTAAAGGTCTGACATCCACAAATCAACAAATTACAAAGTTCCACTCAAGGTCATTTCTCAGAAGTCAAGGTCATTCTGAGTATCCAAGCTGTCCATTGATAGGGATTAGCTTTTGATAGGATTTCTGCCTTTGACCAGAGGCTGTGGTGTAACATTTACCTTTGTTAATTCTGCAAGGTCTTAAGTTTTTGTAACTTATTTCATTCTGAAATCTTTATCCTGTTAATTAAGTAAGCAAGCCTTTAGGATCATCTGTGCATAAGACTGCTTCAGTTTAGCCCTTTACTGTATGTTAGATAAAGTCTGATTTTATTCTGTAGTATTATTGACATTCCGACTGACATATATTTTATCTCTCTTTCTTTCTTGGTTTGCTATGTTTTTGCTTCATAGTCAAAGCTTGCAAAGTGAGAGAATGAGCCCCCGTACTTAACCCCCAGGTTGTTGTTTAGTACATATCATTTACAAGTGGTACTGCAGCTCTGTGTATTTTGCATGATTAGTACCCAGGTATTATGCTTTTAGTGTAAAGATTAAATGCCTACACTAACATCTTTTTCTAGTAGTGCTGTTTAGTAATATTTTTTTCTAGAATTAGGTAGATTTTATACTATTATGGAAAGTAATTGAATTAGATCACATGCCCCACATTGCTTATGATACCTTTTATCAATTAAAGGATGATCAATGTACACAATTGAAAGTTACAGTTAATTTTTTGAAAGATTATTTTGAAATTAATGGTCATTATTAGTTATTGTTTTATAAGTATTGATAGATATTTGGCCAAAAATTAATGTTAAAAACAAGTGATCCTAGTATAAATGGTTAAGCGTTATTTGTTATACAGCTTGTTAATTAAGACTGCTCGTGTCCTAATTGTTAGTCACACTGTGATGTTGTGAACGCCCTCGGTGGTTATTCTCTTTAAAGTCATATGTTTGTGCCAAATATGTTGTAGATATAAATAGATCTCACATTCATGTCACCATGGATGCTGTGGATTTGACCTTTCTGTTGTGTATATAGTAACCGTGGTAACTGCAGCATGCACCTGACATCTATAGCACTCTATGCTTTGTCCCCAGTTGAGTTATATGTGGTGGCTAGTATATTTTTTTTGTACATACCTTTGACTTTGATATCATACACTGTACATGCTGTCTTTAAGACCCAAATAAACTCAGCTTGATGTTACCTTGGTCTTTTCTTTTTCATTTGTAAACACAGTGATTTGTTGAGTTCTTGTATTGAAAAGAAATAAAAATAAAATTCGGCTGTCCTACATCTTTCCTCCAAATTTATTTGGAGACATTCAAAAAATGTTTTTTAATATATGGAAGGAAGAACTTCATCCTCTACAATATCTTCAGTTTCCATTGATATCATTCCTTGAAGGGTGATTGTACAATCATAGGTTGTACGCAGATATTTCAGTTAGTAATGGGAGAAGAGTAAATGCAGTGGACCAGGCAGGGACTCTAACCCAGGTCCTCAGAATCTCTATTCAGGTGCTCTACCAACTGAGCCATCTGGCCAGTGGCAAGGAATCATCCTGACCGCCACAGAATTCATCTTGTATCCCAAAAAACAATTTTCCTTCAAAAATTCTGTGACCATTCCATGTCTTATACCCTATTCATACGACGAAAATTTGCTTATATGTGACATTGCTTTAGTAGAAATCATTTCAACCTGTGTTAAGGATCAGAATATCGAGTTTTAATCCCAACTTGACATATTAATTTTCCTGACAAGAATTTTCAGTTTGAACCTTTTGATCTTGGATTTGCAGATTGTAACTTTTGAATATCTGCTGTGTAACCTCAGTGTAAGAATATGATCTATTTATATGCCATCGTACATGTATTGTAAATTGGTCAGATATGGCCAGTGTAAACTTAACAAAAATTATTATCTTCAGTACATATGGTTGATGTGCTTACTAAGTCACTGCACATGGCTGAGTGTGCATATAAATGTAAAAACATGTTATAACACGAAATGTAATAACAAATGTTATAAACTGGATATATTACATTTTGCTTTATTACATTTCGTAAATGTTTTATTACATTTTGCGAAAAGAAAAAAAAATTACATTTTGCCTGGTAATACCAGAAATTGATTTATTTTTATATACACATTTATCCTGTTTTAATATGTCATATTTTTGTTGTGTTACATTTTGCGTTATGACATCACAAAATGTAATAAAATATAATTAATTTATAGGATTGTGTTCACACAAATTTGATTTAAACATATATAATCATGTAATAATACCAGAAATTGTAATAACATTATTTTTAGATACTTACATTTATCCTGTTTTAATATGTCATATTTTTGTTGTGTTACATTTTGCGTTATGACAACACAAAATGTAATAAAATATAATTAATTTATAGGATTGTGTTCACACAAATTTGATTTAAACGTATATATAATCATGGGGAAACTGGCTTTACGAAATAAATAGACAAAACTATGACGATGAGGAAAACGCTATGTCTTTTACGGTCATAGCTAAATCTAAATGTATCCTTATTTTTTTTTTTACCTCTGTTTCTAAAATTTTTTTAAAGCTCTTGATATGCATACTAGTACATGAACAACGTGTATACGTGTACATTGATTAGAATATTAGACGTGCATGTGTGCGTGTCTGACAATGAGAGGCAGTGATCGTGTGGGGTGTTTACTTTGTATGCCTATGCGCATTCAGAAACCATCCATTTTATTACTGGAGAGACAAAGAAGGAAGGAGAATTAATTCATGATTGTCAATAACCCCCCCCCCATACACTTTTAAATACACCTGCCAGTACAAATTAATGCATTTTTTTATTCACTGCTTGTGCCTATCAAAAAGCAAAAGCGCACTAATTAATCAACGCAACTACACCCCCCCCCCAACACACACACAACCCCCGACCTTCGCACGCATGTTTCTAATTTGCAACATTTTTGATTTAAATATTTTTAAAATGATTTTAAGGTAGCTCCAAAAAGTGTGTTATCGGGTATAAATAAATGCCTGTCTTGTATTATGCTTCATAAATCTCGACGCAACAAATTAAACAAATTAAATATGTAACACGGCAAAATCATAATGTAATAATCCCAAAATTGTGTTATATTTTGCGTTAAATCAATACATTATATGCGCTGGTCTCGACCAATATATATATGTAATAAATCCTAAAAAGTCTTCTGTTACATTTCGCATTATTACATTCTTCGTTGATCTCGAAGCAAAATGTAATAATTAACGTACGCTAAATGCATTAATCCCGGTATATATTACCTTTTGCGTTACATAACAATGCATCAACTGGAAGAGTATGTATAGATGGTGACTGATCCATTACAAATCTCTTGGAATTGATGCAAGAAGGAATTAAAGGTCTAATGAATCAGACATTAAAAAAAACAAAACCATGTGTCATATGACAGACATACGCAACAATAGAAATCCCTCATTTCATAACCTAGATTTCAAAGCATAGGCTAAATCTGGCACTTCACTTATATTTATGTGATATCATCTTGCCGAGAAACAATAAACTTGCATAATTGTTTTAAACCTACTATGATGTGTTGTTGGAAATCAAAAGGCACATCTGTGAAAATAAGAACAAGAGGCCCAGGGGCCACAGCGCTCAGGCATCGGGCTTGAATTTATATACCCCCCCCCCCGGGCATTCATCATTTGAAAATAGAATCTAAAAGGGAAATGCAAAACAAGTACTTGAAAAGAAGATTTTTCAAAAGGTTTCCCTATATATCCCTTTGTAAAACTTGGGTCGGCCATTTTGGCCCCACCCTAGCCCCGGGGGTCATGATTTGAACAAAATTGAATCTACATTACCTGAGGATGATTCCACACGAGTTTCATCTTTCCTGGCCCAGTGGTTCATTAGAAAAAGATTTTTAAAGATTTTTCCTATATATTCTATGTAAAATTTTTATGGCCCCACCCTTGCCCCGGGGGTCATGATTTTTGAATTTACACTACCTGAAGATGATTCTACATGAGTTTCAGCTTTCCTGGCCCAGTGGTTCATTAGAAGAAGATTTTTAAAGATTTTTCCTATATATATTCTTTTGTAAAACTGTTTGTCATGATTTGAACAAACTTGAATGTACACTACCTGAGGATGATTAAACATGAGTTTCATCTTTCCTGTACCTATGGATCTGGAGAAGAAGATTTTTAAAGATTTTTCCTATATATTCCTATGTTAAACTTGGACCGGCCATTTTGACCCCACCCTTGCCCCGGGGGTCATGATTTGAACAAACTTGAATCTACATTACCTGAGGATGATTCCACATGAGTTTCAGCTTTCCTGGCCAAGTAGTTCATTAGAAGATTTTTAAAGATTTTTCCTATATATTCCTATGTAAAACTTGCCATTTTGGCCCCATTGCTCCTCATAATTGATACATTCTTTTCCACATGAGTTTCAGCTTTCCTGGCCCAGTGGTTCATTAGAAGAAGATTTTTAAAGATTTTACCTATATATTCCTATGTAAAACCTTGTGATGATTTGAACAAACTTGAATTTACACTACCTGTGATTCCACATGATTTCATCTTTCCTGGCCAAGTGGTTCTGGAAAAAGATTTTTAAAGATTTTTCATATATTCCTATGTAAAACTTGTCCATTTTGGCCCCACCCTTGCCCCGGGGGTCATGATTTGAACAAACTTGAATCTACACTACCTGAAGATGATTCCACATGAGTTTCAGCTTTCCTGGCCCAGTGGTTCTTGAGAAGAAGATTTTTTAAAAATGCCATTAATTTTTTTCTAATTCATAATTATCTCCCCTTGGAAAAGGGTGTGGCCCTTCATTTGAACAAACTTGAATCCCCTTTACCCAAGGATACTTTGTGCCAAGTTTGATTGAAATTGGCCCAGCAGTTCTTTCGAAAATGTGAAAAGTTTACAAGACGTCAGATGACCTTGTGACCTTGACTGTGACCTATATGCTAAACATAGCTTTTCAACTGTTTGTCATAACTTTTGAACCATAAGAATAAGACTTCATATTTGGTATGAGGTCTTTCTTCAAGGTAAATGACCTTTGACCTTGACTGTGACCTATATGCTAAAAATAGCTTTTTCCACTTTCTGCCAAACTTTTGCAAAACAATAGGGACTGTCATATTTAGTATGCATACTTCTCTAATAAAGGACTTTCAAATGACATCAAGGTCAATGACATATTTATGTACATGTATTTGAGTGTCACTGACAATCAAATATAAATAGGATTTACTAACATTCTATGACAACTTTTGTTCTATTGCAGTTATTACAAATCAGTAGCTGAATACAGGCACAACTGCACTTGAAACTCTCTCTTTTACTTGTGAATAAATGTTTCTGTTAACAAACAATCGAAAAGAGGCATCTATGACAATAAATTCATATTTTGAATTTTTAAAGTAGTTTTTAAAATGGTAGCACAACATCTCGTAACAGAATGGGGCACCCGATAAGCGAATACGTCGGGGTACAAGTTATCTTTTCTAAAACCGAAAGTAAAATTCCCACTTCCGGTTTATATGTGGACCAGAGTTCAAGTTCAGTGTTGGACTCGGAGAAAAAAACGTGTTATATGAAAAAACCAGTATGTTAACTCATTCGTTATGCATTAATTGTCCTATCCTGAAACCTCTCTGCTTTTTGTATGTCGTATATTCTGTACACAGTAATAAAAGTCTGTTAAGTTTGTCGAACAGGATATCAAGTAATCAACAGTCATGTTATCAACACATGCCGGAATACATCATTATTGTTTATATAGTACTGAAATTTCTTAACCCTAAAGCTCCTAAAGTATGTTAAGGTTAGAGTATAGGAATAAAGATAATTTTTTGCAGGAGTACAGCAGTTGGTATTTGTAGGAAAGTGCCATCTTAGTTGGTTTGTTTATAGTAACTGCTAGGAGTAGGATACAGGCCAGCATCAAAATTGAAGGTAAACAGGTATGCAGATGTCCTTTCTTTTTTTTTTAGCTCACCTGAATCAAAGCTTCAAATGATTACAATTTGTCTGGCTAAACCTTTAATGTTATACATGGTTGTAGCTGCAGATCTGTAGCGTTATGGTTTTATATATTTGTTTTGACCATAATGCTACAGATCCCGTAAAGCAAAAAAGGTGCAATTTACGGCGCAAT